TTTGAATGATAATTTTTATTGTGCGGGTCAGGTTTTGCCAACAATGACCAAATGACACCACAAAGACCTGAAATGCACACTGGCGATCAGCCAACAGCTCCCACAAGGAAATTAAAGGCTTATTTTACAGTTCTATAATGATCTCAAATGATGTAAGAGAATGGAATATACATTTTGTACAGTATAAAAATCATTGTCTATGGAAAGTCCCCATAAAACATGAAAACGCAACGTGTGTGTGTGCGGATTCGTGCGTGCGCGCGCGCGCGGGTGTTCGTGCGTGTCTACCGAAACTCAGGTTGCTTCAAGGGGATTTTCTCTAAAAAAAAAGTCTCTATTAATAAAAACATCTGATATATGACAGCCTATTTAGCCTACTTTCTTAATAAAAATCTGGACATGATAAACATTGCCTGTATATGATGACAAATAGATAACATGCAAATGACAAAACGTTTGACCCATATAAAGTAGGCCTACACTAGGGGTGTTATGAGTAAATAGGAAAAGTGTTAGTTCACAGATATCTAAATTGAGAAATATCAGGTAATTTATATTAAACAAATATAGCAAACAATGCTTGCATTTAGGGTTAAATAAAACGTCGTAAACTTGAGCCTTTCCCTCCCTGCCTGTGGTGTGTAACTTGGTAACACATTGGTCATTAGAGACAGTGAAGTCCCCAGGCAGATGTGTTTGTTTGTCAGTGCTAAGCACATCTCTCTGCTTTTAAGATTTCAGGTTCAAATTGATGGCTTATGCAAAGATCTGCCGGAAACAACATTATATAAAGCTGTATGCAAAACCATCAGCAGCAGCAGGTCATACAGGTTTTTCCAGACCAGCCGGACTGCACACATCCAAACATATTCATTTGTCCTCCTTAAAGGACTTTTAGGAGACAATCCCAGTTTCTTGAAAATTGGCATTTAAAAACAAAAAATGTACAAACACTTTCAAGAAAATAATAGCCTAATAAACATTAACTTGAAAGTATAAATAAATGAGGAAACGATAAAAATGGTTACAATTTAATTTGATGGTCCACATTTTCTACTAATCATAAGTATCTGTCAACATGTCAACTAACTCATTAATTTGCAACTGCATGTCAGTCAACTAACTCTCATTAGAGTATTAGTAGACTGTTTGGGTCAGGGTTAGTATAATAAGTTGACATCTATTAATACTTTAATGACTGGTAGGTAACATTTAGTTGCAAAGTTACTTGTACGCTGAAATAAATATTTTCATGATTTATCACAATTTATTTTCTTTTGTCAAATCAACTTAGGTAATTAATGTGGTTCAGATAACATATTATTTTGAGTTTCTGTTGATTAAGCCAATCTCCTTCATTGTATTAACTCAAATGTTTTATTTCAATGAGCTCAATATTTTAAGGAAACCAGGTAACTTACTTTTTTATGTTAAACCAACAATATTTTTAGTGTAGTTAGAATGTCTAAAGTGGACCATCAAAAACAAAAAGCAAACAAACAAGCCTTTATCCCTTCTGCCTTTATTATTTAAATTTTCAACAAAACAAGTTAGCATTTTATGTCATGCAAATTATATTGCAAATTATATAATATGTCATGCAAATTATACTTCTGCATCAATAATCATAAATTATATATATATATATATATATATAGGCCTATATGTATGTCTGTCTGTCTGTCCGTCCAGAATTATTTGCCCCCTGTAAATATGATCAAAGATGGCTGTAAAAAATAAATCTGAATGGTTAATCCTTTTGATATTTTATTTAAAAAAATAGCAAAAATCTAACCTTTTATTGAAGTAAAAGAATTGAAAGTGGGGGGTAAATCACATTATGAAATAAATGCTTTTCTCCCAAACACGCTGGCCATAATTATTTGCCCCCTTTTATTAAATACTTTTTGCAACCTCCTTTTTCCAAGATAACAGCTCTGAGTCTTCTCCTATAATGCCTGATGAGTTTGGAGAACACCTGACAAGAGATCAGAGACCATTCCTGCATACAGAATCTCTCCAGATCCTCCAGATTCCCAGATCCATGTTGGCGCTTCTTCTCTTCAGTTCAGCCCACTCATTTTCTATATGGGTTCAAGTCAGGGACTGGGATGGCCATGGCAGATGCTTGGTTTTGTGCTCAGTGACCCATTTTTGTTTTGATTTTGATGTTTGTTTTTTTATCACTGTCCTGTTGGAAGATCCAAACATGGCCCGTTATAAGATTTCTAGCAGAGGCTGTCAGGTTTTGATTTTTTATCTGTTGGTATTTGATCGACTCCATGATGCCATGTATCTGAACAAGATGTCCAGGACCTCTGGCTGAAAATTAGGCCCACAGCATTAAAGATACAGCAGAGTATTTCATTTTACACATGGGGTACTTTTTATCCCTGTATGAACCAAACTCATCTTAAGTGTTTGCTGCCCAAAAAGCTAATGTATTTGTTTTGTCTGTCCATAGAACCCGTCCCGTTTGAAGTTCCAGTAGTGTCAGTTACTTTTCAAACGTTATGGTCAGATGAAACAAAACAAAAAGAGCTTTTTGGCAGCAAACACTTAAGATGAGTTTGGTTCATACAGGGATAAAAAGTACCCCATGTGTAAAATGAAATACTCTGCTGTATCTTTAATGCTGTGGGCCTAATTTTCAGCCAGAGGTCCTGGACATCTTGTTCAGATACATGGCATCATGGAGTCGATCAAATACCAACAGATAAAAAATCAAAACCTGACAGCCTCTGCTAGAAATCTTATAACGGGCCATGTTTGGATCTTCCAACAGGACAGTGATCAAAAAACAAACATCAAAATCAAAACAAAAATGGGTCACTGAGCACAAAATGAAGCATCTGCAATGGCCATCCCAGTTCCTGACCTGAACCCTATAGAAAATGAGTGGGCTGAACTGAAGAGAAGAAGCGCCAACATGGATCTGGGAATCTGGAGGATCTGGAGAGATTCTGTATGGAGGAATGGTCTCTGATCTCTTGTCAGGTGTTCTCCAAACTCATCAGGCATTATAGGAGAAGACTCAGAGCTGTTATCTTGGAAAAAGGAGGTTGCAAAAAGTATTTAATAAAAGGCTGCAAATAATTGTTCCCAATAATTGTGTTTTGGAGAAAACAATTTATTTCATAATGTGATTTACCCCCCCACTTTCAATTATTTACTTCAATGAAAGGTCTGATTTTTACTAATTCTTTAAATAAATCATCAAAAGGATTAACAATGGAGATTTATTTTTTACAGCCATCTTTGATCATGTTTATAGGGGGCTGGTCAAATGATTCTGACCAGCACTGTATATATATACACTCACCGGCCACTTTATTAGGTACACCTGTCCAACTGCTCGTTAACACTTAATTTCTAAGCAGCCAATCACATGGCGGCAACTCAGTGCATTTAGGCATGTAGACATGGTCAAGACAATCTCCTGCAGTTCAAACCGAGCATCAGTATGGGGAAGAAAGTTGATTTGAGTGACTTTGAACGTGGCATGATTGTTGGTGCCAGAAGGGCTGGTCTGAGTATTTCAGAAACTGCTAATCTACTGGGATTTTCACGCACAACCATCTCTAGGGTTTACAGAGAATGGTCCGAAAAAGAAAAAACATCCAGTGAGCGGCAGTTCTGTGGGCGGAAATGCCTTGTTGATGCCAGAGGTCAGAGGAGAATGGCCAGACTGGTTCGAGCTGATAGAAGGGCAACAGTGACTGAAATAACCACTCGTTACAACCGAGGTATGCAGCAAAGCATTTGTGAAGCCACAACACGCACAACCTTGAGGCGGATGGGCTACAACAGCAGAAGACTCCACCGGGTACCACTCATCTCCACTACAAATAGGAAAAAGAGGCTACAATTTGCAAGAGCTCACCAAAATTGAACAGTTGAAGACTGGAAAAATGTTGCCTGGTCTGATGAGTCTCGATTTCTGTTGAGACATTCAGATGTTAGAGTCAGAATTTGGCGTAAACAGAATGAGAACATGGAACCATCATGCCTTGTTACCACTGTGCAGGCTGGTGGTGGTGGTGTAATGGTGTGGGGGATGTTTTCCTGGCACACTTTAGGCCCCTTAGTGCCAATTGGGCACCGTTTAAATGCCACGGCCTACCTGAGCATTGTTTCTGACCATGTCCATCCCTTTATGGCCACCATGTACCCATCCTCTGATGGCTACTTCCACCATGTCACAAAGCTCTAATCATTTCAAATTGGTTTCTTGAACATGACAATGAGTTCACTGTACTAAAATGGCCTCCACAGTCACCAGATCTCAACCCAATAGAGCATCTTTGGGATGTGGTGGAACGGGAGATTCGCATCATGGATGTGCAGCCGACAAATCTGCGGCAACTGTGTGATGCCATCATGTCAATATGGACCAAACTCCCTGAGGAATGCTTCCAGCACCTTGTTGAATCTATGCCACGAAGAATTGAGGCAGTTCTGAAGGCAAAAGGGGGTCCAACCCGTTACTAGCATGGGGTACCTAATAAAGTGGCCGGTGAGTGTATATATATATATATACATACAGTGCTGGTCAGAATCATTTGATATACATATATATATATATATATATATATATATATATATATATATATATATATATATATATATATATATCCAAGGTATAACAATTACATAACAAATGTACAGACTTAATACTGTACATTTAACAAGGAATGAAAAATACAAATTATAACAAATAAACAAAGACACAAACGGAAAATCACATAAACAAATAAAAAGAAAAATAATAATAAAATAAAATATTACATCTCGTCAAAATATATCCTTTAACAAATTAAATTAAGAATGCAGCACAGGTTTGCCTGTCTTAATTAAGAGCTTTGGAGTTATTTAAAAGGGAAATAGCTTGGATATATTGCTCGATAACTGAATTTCCCCTCGTTGTACCTGTTGAGAAGATCAGCGACGTCACGCAGAGGGCGTGGCCTCCTCAACCTGTGCGTGCACTGATGTTTGAGAGACACTTGCAGACGCTGAATCCCAGACACAGAGAAGGAAATGTGAACGAGTGTGACGAGAGATTGAGTTTTTACACAGGGTTTGTAACCGGGAAAGCGTGTATCGATGATCCTTCCAGCGGTTTTCAACTTCTCTGATCCACACGGAGCCTGAAGGACGTAAAGATGATGCTCAACTTTCTCCCGGTGCGGAAATTCAAGCGCAACGGCAGATATATTGTGTTCTGGGCGGTGCTGATGGTCGCGTTACTGGCGGTTTATCTGGAGTTCATGGCCACGAGCGAGTGGAGCAGCACTGGTGAGTGACAGACATCTGATGCCCTGTCCACTCATTACTCATTACTTTACACATGCATGATGGCAATCATCAAATAGTACAGTCAAAATGTTTACAATAATGACCTATTCATTAACCCTACTTAACAGATTAGGTATCGTGAAGGGACAATAAACAACATTTTTACAGCATTTATTCATCTAGATCAGGGATTTCCGAACTTTCCTAACTTTTTGTTGTTGTTGTTGTTGTTGTTGAACACATTTGACCTAAATAAAATAACGCATGGTGTCGTTTAATGGTCACATGACATGCAGGTAAACAAATCAAATATTTTATCTTTTTAACATGTTTTATTTAGAACATTTTTTATTTAAATGATCATTTTATGGTTTAATTAATTATTAGCTGATTATTATAATTAAGGTCGAATTCGTTAATATTGGTTAATGCTTTAGGTCATTATCATTTCGCTCTTCATTTCATATCCAACTACATATAATACATTGTTCAAGTTGTATTAACATTAGTTGATTTATTCTCATCAACACAAGTTAATCACATATAATGATAATAATAAAGTAGCTAATGTTAATATAGATAACACTCAATAAGGTCGTTTTGGCCAATTTCAAATAGGATTCCAGTTTCCAATTACCTTCTGTATCTGTTTTCTTAGTAAATTTTGACCTACTTGTAATTGCATTCCTTTCTACATACATTTTCTAATTGCAATGTTTTCCCATTAGGCTATATTCCACAGTTATAATGTTTACTTGCAGTCCATTCGACTTGCATTCCAGTGGTTTGGAAATTATCTTCTGTTGTATCAGGAGTTTGAGCTGGAGATAAAGTTTGGAGTTTGTTCTTTGTCGTGGTGAATTGGTTCCATTATTATTAAACACAATACTATTCAAAACAACATGCAAACAGTACAGCACAATATAACGCAATGACAGAATACATTATGTTAATAAGATCAAGGAAATGTTTAATGTGCATGGAAACACTAGAACATCAGGCTGCTTGTTTCTGACCTGCTGGTCTAGTTTTTTACACCAGCTTAAAAACAGGGTGTTTCTTCCCAATTCCCATAGTGACTCAGTGTCTCCTCTGCTTTCCTTCTGACTCAGGCACCTTAACTTATAGCAATTTTAATCATGTTTTCTTATTGGTCCTATATTGCAAAGTCTTTACAAAGAGAAGCTTATGTGATTGAGGAAACCTGAGAGATGTCAGGTGAGCTCTGACCTGCAGAAGGGGTTTGTCATCTTGTTTGAGGTCAGTGTCAGACCAGAGGAGCAACACCAATGTCACACCACCTGGACATCAGCCTGGTAATGTGCATCTAAAATTACATTTGAATAGTAAACTCACACTGACCTGCACAAAATCAGATTATAAACAACAGCTGTCCAGTTGAGATTTGCTTGCACTCGTTCTAATTCTGATTGGGTGGAGGACGCTTGAATGCGATCCGAATTCCTTGTTCCTCCTGTATTTCCAAAAGAAATCCAGAGGTGAATGATTGATCTGCACATGGCATTATGATGCGTTCGAGTCCTCCTGGGAAGTTCGTATTTACAAGTCGGGAAGTTGTGTTTACGACGTCAGGTGCGTTCAAGTCACTTTCGCCTGAGCAAAATGGTGGTGTACCTATTCTTAAGGGTTAGTTCACCCAAAAATGAAATTTCTGTCATTAATTCAGAGTCAGAAAGCTCTCCGATTTCATCAAAAAATGACTTAATTTGTGTTCCAAAGATAAATGTTTGGGTGAACCAACCCTTTAATTAACTACACAAAAATACAGCAAGGTTTTTAAACTATTTATAGAAAATGAAGAACAAAGAATGTGCATCAAGTGTATTTTGCTTTGTTTTTAACTAATTTATGAAGCCACTGTAACTTTGTTACATATTATATTCTTATTAAAATGCTATTATAATTAGTGCAGGCAATTAACTTATTTTGTTGTAAATAAAAAAGCCTGACAATGTCACTGCTAAATACCTTGAAGTATGTGGTTATCCGCCTCATTTCTCACTGACACGCCTCCAATTCATAAAGATCGGGGCTTAAAGAATATCCAGAGCTTCCAACTCGTATTTACAACTTTGCTGTGCTGTTCATGTGCGTTCAACTCGTAAATATGATCTTTCTGACATGACTTCTTGAAATCACCATAAGTGTTGCACGATATACCGGTAATAGAAACGTATCACGATACGTTTCTTTTAAAAACGTTGCGATTCCTCATTTTACTAGTCTCGGTACTTTAAGAAAGGCAGCAGTATAGTGTGTGTGCAGTGCTTTGCTTACACTCCCTGCAGGCACACTAGCATAATTTTGGTTTCGTGACAACATGGCATTGATGCGCACTTACTGTACGAGTCCATTGCTCATGCATGCCATTCCTCTGTGAACCTGCATTTTGCATGCTTGTTAGACTTCACACTGTAAATTAACGTTGTTTGCATATTTATGAGGTTAATAACAATGAAATGGACATGCACAACACATAAAAACAAGAATGCACACAACTTCTGTCAAACATCACCATGTTAGTCTATTAAATAAAGGTTTAATACATTTTAAGTTTTTCCCTCAAACTCTGAAAATAAACGGCATGTTTTTGTGACTCTGCATGTTTTTGTTAAAAGTGCAAGAATAATAATGAGGCTAATAATTAATGACAATAATTAATGAGTGTTGCTTAGTTAATGATTGGTGGTCGGTGGCTAAACAACTCTGTGTAATGTTTTGAATTGTTTTGTTCTGCAATGTAATTATGAGTTGTCACAAATTTTTTTTTTAATAGATGATATCCAGAGAGTTAATGACTGCAGATGAGATATAAAATTGCTGAAATGAAATTCAAATATTTTACAAATTCAAACAAAATTTGTTTATTATCGATTGTCAAAGCTGTACATAGCCTAGATTTTTGGTGTTGAAGCTAACACAATCAGTCACGCAGATATGGTTTTTGGCTGAAAATGACCAAATATAGTTGCGAAATATTCACCCAAAAATGAAAATGCTGTCATCGTTTAGACACCATAATGTCACTCCCATTCTGAATGAATTTATTTCTACTGCAAAACACAAAAGAAGAAATTTTGAAAGTCAGCGGTCCAAACAACACTAGATCTCATGGATATCCTTTGTATAGACAAGAATTAATAAATATAATAAACAAAAATCCGCTATAAATAAAGTCTTACAGGTTTTGAATAACATGAGGGTGAATAAATGATGACAGCATTTTTATTTTTTGGTGAACTATCCCTTTAAAATCAGTGCTAATTCGCTCAATATTACATATAATGTTGCTAAACCCAGAGTTACAGTTGTAATCGAAATTATTCAACCCCCATTGAAAATTAGGTTTATTGGCAAAATGTAAAGACTTTCAGCTGTTTGCAATGAACAAATCAAACAAAAGTAATTGAAATAGCTCAACACAACAAAAGTGGTTTCCCCAAATGTAACTAAGGGTGTATTCACACCAGGAAAGTCCGATAGTTCACTTGCTTTCGTCCGGACCAAATAAAATTTTTTTTTTTTTTTTTTTTTGGTACGGTTCGCTTTCACACTGCTCTTTTTCCAAGTGAACCAAAATTTGTAAACAAAACCACACGTGTGCTAAGGTTGTCCATTCATTGGACAAGGATTCTCAAGTAGGGAAATCAGGAAGTGCAAAAAAGGCTCAGCATGGAGATACTGCAATATTTGTTCTTTTACTAATTTTGTGTTATTCTGTGCTACATGGGCATCTGCCCAAATGTTAATAAGGCAGCTCGTCTCTTCGAAGCTCCAGGTCAAACCACGACTCATTTTATCAAATGTAGTAGGCTACAACAGATCACTTTCCCATAACGCAACTCCGACTACGGAAGCCTGTTAACTCAAAGGCGCAGTGCTTTCTTGCAATTGGGTCAGTTCATGTTCACACCGTAAACGAACCGTACCAGAGTTCGTTTGGAACCGTACCGAGACCACCTCTTCAGCTGGGTCTCGGTTCGGTTGTTTGGTCCGCACCCGAGTTCGATTGCTGTATTCACACCTGCCCAAAAGGTCCGCACCAAGGGGGGAAACGAACTAGAGTTCGATTAAATCGAACCAAAACAAGACAGGTGTGAATACACCCTAAAATGCAACTTTTAATGACTTCTGCAGTCTCAAAATTATGCAACCCCCTGAATAGAATCCCTCACAGTAGCACAAATCTGCAAAACAGTTGATGTCTCAAGCACACCTGATCAAGGGCTTCATTAGTTGCACCTGGTGTGCTTGAGCTAGAACACATGAAATATCTGAACTGGCTAGGTTTGTTGAGTGTCAAGTTTTGACTCCATGTTAGAAATATGGCAAAAGAATGGTCCAAATAGTTAAGAGAAGATTTCATCGCCCTTCACAAACAAGGAACAGGACACAAAAAGATAGCGAAGGCACTAAATGTTTCTAGAAACACCGTTGGAAGCATAGTTCGCAAGTTCAAAGTTAAAGGAACAGTGGTTACACTACCTGGATGGGGCAGAAAAAAGAGGTATCCACGGCTGCAACCAGATTTCTGAGATGGCAGGTTCAGAAACCCTAGAGTGACTGCAAAAGAACTGCAGCAAGACTTGGTGGCCACTAGGGCTGTCACTTTACGTTCGAAAATCGATTGCACAATCGACCGGACCAACCAACACAAGTATCGAAACGAAAATAGGGAATCGATTTTAACGGCCTTCTCTCGCAGCGCGTCCAGCTCGTCACGACACGCCCGCAGCGAACGCGCGTCACACAACAACTGCAGGCTCTGACAAACACACATACAAACTATACTATACTTCTGAATAATGTGTCCCTTTTTACAACAAAAATGTGAATTCTGCCGGTATTCAGACAGTCTCATGCATACAGATGAGATACAGATTCGGCCTACAATCGCCTACGTAGGCGAAATTTGTTTGACATTTCTAATCGTAAACACAGCCATGTCGAAGCCTGCAGTAATGTTTTTCATTGATGTT